GATTTCTGGTATACACAGTAAGAGGTGCATGCTCTTAGATTTCTGGTATACACAGTAAGAGGTGCATGCAAATTGTTCTCTGTACTGATCCTTAAGCACTATGTAAGAAACAGAAAACCCTTCCCATATTTGTCATGTGTCCAAACTTGTCTCCTCCCTGAAGACAGGTTGAAATGCCTTTGATGGCAGGAATCTTTGATGATTGGATTGTTGCCTAAAAGGTAACTTTTAGGGTCTCAGGGTGCTGGTGCCATTTTTAACTAGGTCCCTGCCCTGAGAGTGCTGCATGGCCTCTCGCGCATTGTTGACGGGTTTGCTGGCATCCCAGGAGTCCCAGTCCGGACACAGGCCTGCAGAGAGGGGAGAGCTGTGAGCCCTTAGGCCTCAGGACCCCACTCCAGAGCAGGCACCAGGAGGGTGTGACCCCCACCCCGCCTCACTGGGGGCACAGCTATCAACCAGGGCGCCTAGGGCATGGCCGCTCTGCCAGTCCCGACTGAAGTTGGTGATGGGCAGCTGCGGCAGCTTGTTCTGGATCCAGCCTAGGAGCCTCTGCTTGGGCATCTGCTTCTTGGCCTCCTCGTCCTCCTCCTCGTCCCACATGGGCATGGAGATGGAGTAGTGCAGGATCAGGGTCCAGATGAGGCCCAGGATCAGCTTCAGGTTCCCGTCCACGATGGCCTTACTGTCTGTAAGGAGCAGGAGTGGCAGCCCCGGGTCGGGGGGTCAGACACTGGCAGGCCAGGGGGCTCCCAGGGCCCAGGGTGGAGAGAAAGTCCACGCCCATCGGGGCTGGGGGTGGGGGTGTGGACTGGCCCATCCTCTCAGAGCCCCGGAGTGTGTGTGTGTGCAGAGGAATACGGAGGTGAAGAGGGGACACCCCTCCCTCCACACAGAATGACAATACAGTACAGCCGAGGGCCCACAGACAGGGCCAAGGAGGGTCCAGACAGGCGGCTCTGGAGGGTGAGGGCATGGAGGCTGTGAAGCTGCCCACGCAGGGCAGCCACCCACCTCCAGGGGCCTGCGGGATCCGAACCCAGAGACCTGCATTGGTAGGCGCGGTGGTGGGGACAGGCACAGAGGAACGGGAGAGCTCAGTGGATGGTTGGGAAATCCCATTGTTGTCCCGGGGTGGGGTGGGGTGGGGGTGGGGCTCGGGACAGGGGAAGTGGAGCTGTTGGGCAAGGACCCCTTGGGTGCTGGGGCGTGGGGTCCCCTGCAGAGCTGAGCTGAGCTGAAGGCTGGGGCAAGGGGTGGGGCCGAGAGCAGGGAGGAACCAGCGGGTGGGCGGCCGGGACCTGACTCACTGGGGCCCCGTTGGGTGACTGATGGGCATCAGGCCACGGGGAGACCGCCCTCGCCCCAGCTGGAGATGGACACGGCCCTGTGAGCTACAAGGCCCGGGAAGGGGTGGTCTCTGAATGGTCGTCGGCCATCAGAGGCCATGGGTGGGGCTCTCCACGTCCAGCGGCCTTAGCAGAGCCCAGCTGGGCCACACCCCTCCC